TCTTCTTTATTGTCTTTCAAAACAGCTTTATTTCAGTATCTCTTCCAGTGAAACGATTGTCAGTTATGAATTTATATTTGTTCTCTTTTCCTTATTTTCCTTATTTGCTTACTTCTTTTTATTTTTTTTACTTTTTATTTATTTTCTTCTTCAAAAATTTGTTCTTTTTTTTTTACTATTTCTGGTTCTAACCTTAGTTGTTTGTTTATTTTGCTCTTTTTATTACTCTTTTTGTTTTGTTGTTTGGCTTGAGTCATTTATTACAGGTCAGTGACCTTTGATGACTCTCTCACTTTTCGTGAATAAAACAGTCTTAGTCTCATAAAAACACGCTTTATTCATTTTCAGCTTTGATTTGTATATTTCTTCGTTAGAGTATATATTAGTCTATTAGCCGTCACTTCCGTTGCATGCGTATAGTATTTCGTTTTAGATCTAATACGATGTTCCTACGTACTTTCTTTACCATTTTGTTCATATTAGCTATTATTGAACTTGTAAGTTTCTTTTACTTATCATTGTGTATTTGTCCCACTCATCTATAGCTGGAAAAATTTATATATTCAGAATAGTCATAAACCGACGCATTGCGGGTATCAGAGTGGACTGTCGCGTATGATTCAATGTTGGGTTGCGGCTCACTCTCATCGTCCCACCACACCCCACACCGCACTATAGTTACAAAGAGACTTCCTATTTGTTAGTCTCTGAATTAAAAACTGAAAAAAAAAAGGGGGGTCGATAAGTGTATTTGTCCCATTCATCTATAGCTGGAAAAATTTTGAATAAAATAATATTTGTCTTATATGAACGCTTTACTCTTCTTTTTCTCCCTTAAAGCCATGCTTTTGATGGGATTTAACAATACACGCTAGATGCATGATATACATTGCTAGATGCAGTTTTGGACGCTGATTTCAATGGTGAAAAATCCAGCTCTCTATCTTTTTTTAAAAAAAAGTTATACGCAAAATACTCTCCCAGCGAAAAATGACTGTTTTCTTCATTTTCCAGCTGAAATGACCTATGTGGCAAAGCTTCGTGTAGCTAGAGGTTATGTCGTAGAACATTCATACTAGTCTCAAATGAAAGAGCGAAGTGAGTTCTATACATTTCAGTAAAAAAATTCATGTGAGTGCAAAACATCTGGGAGAAAAGGCTTCTCGAAAACCAGAGGGTTTTCAAGGAATTCTCTCTGATTAACACGAGTCCAAATCGATGAAAACCACTTTTTATATGTTATTTTTAGCGCAGAATCCAGATCTGAAATTTAGACACTTGTGCGAGAATTTTTTTATGCGGTTTCTAGAAAACTCGTCAGGTTTTATGGAATTTCACTGGGTTTCACTATTGTATACGAAAAGTATGTCTTCTGCTCTTTTCTTAAGTAGTTTTTCGACATTAAGAGAACCCATTTCGCTACTGCGGCTTAGAGACGTGGCACTCTGATGACACAGGCAAACTTGGCAACCGACACATGGAATTGTTTTTCGTTGTTTATTCAACTATTTCTAGTTTAAACAAAAAAACAGTCCCAGATTAAACAAAATTTGGAAACACTGTTCAACACCATACTAAAACCCGACAAAATACTCGATGAAACAAGTGGAACAAGTGTAGAAGTCATCCACTTCTGCAGACGTGGAAGTGGATGTCTGTGCAGCTGTCTGTGGGTGTCTTCATGTTTTACTATTACCCCTTATTGGATGAAGGAAATTTCGGAAAGAGATGTGAAATTGAAATATTTTTTTACGCCTTTTTTAAAATAACTTGTTTAATGTTTTGATTTAGGTCGTTGAAATTTTAGTAATCGTACCACATTGTTTTTTTGATTTAAAATTTGAATCACAAAATCATTCAAATGAAACAGCGGTAGAAATATCAGGTAAAGCTGCTGATCATGTTCGTCAATTGTTAACAATAAGTTGTATTGGTTTAATGATACTTATTAATGTTATTACTATGTATGTGTATGGTCGATATTTAATGAGAGTACAAGAACTTAGAATTGTACAGTTTACGTTGCAATTTCAAAGTTGGGTATGTATAGGTTATTCGAGTTTTTCCTTGTGCTTGTGGATTCCGCAAGAACAAACAAAAGAAACAACAATTTAATTTGTCTTCATTTTTTATTCTGACAAGAAAGTAATTTTACTTAGGATATAAATATTGGCCTGATCAATTAGAAATTTGCGTTCGTGGATTAGTTTCAGAAATATTTGATATTTCAATTATCATCATTATCATGTACTCACTCGCGTATAACAGCCTCAAAAGTTGATTTTATGAATCATTACCTGTTCAATTTTTAACAGATTTAAATTCTAGAAGAAATGCATGTGTTGTTTTGTACGAAACGTTTCTTCTAGGTCAATTGCATTTGAAATAATCTTTTATTAAAATACACTGATGTTGTCGAAGTCGTTGTTTTTAATATATGGTATCGTCGTGAATTTTTGGGGTGCATCGTCATCTATTTTTCAGAAAATTATTTTAAAACTCCAATGACAGATGCAGCAGCAATTTTTTTCATATCGTTTTTCGCTACAACCCAAAAAACAATGTGTGTTTATAGACTCGGTGACAAGAAAAGGATTGGACGGTCGAAAAGTTATTATATTTGAATATGCAGTCAGTTACAAAAAAAGTGACTTATATCATTGTAAAATGTTAGCTTTGAGGGTAGTTTAAGTACGATCAACAGCCCACCTATACGATAAATATAAGGTTGGGAATTGATTCTTTACAAAAATATCGGACATAATTTGCTCTGCTACTGTTTAAGCGTATGTCAATATCCACTGTCAAATACACAAATCCGCGTCAATAGTAGGTAAATAACTGTTGTAAAAAACCTATTTTTAATGCAAGTTGTGTGCTTTTCGTTCTTTTCTATTACACTGGTGATTGAACATCTATGAAATTTAAATATTCAAATTTTTTATAAAAAGTATTTTCGTATTTACTGTTTGTGTGCGCAATCTCAACAAATATAGTTTTGCTGCTTTGTTGTATCGATGTATTTCATTCTTGTTTTTCTAATTATATTCTACTTTGTTTTTATCGAGCACTTGTGCAACCACATAATAATCGATTGAAAACAAATAAAGTTACAGAGATGTCTATATAGATGCAAACATAAAAGTTTTTATTTCTTTCTCTCTTTATTTAGGAAAATTGTGGTTCAATGATATTTTGCTTTTTCTTGTGTGCCATGGCAGCGTGGACTAGATTAATACAACGTAAAGAAAAATCAGCCATTTTCCAGCTTCAATTTGTAAGCAGAATTATTTATTTTTCTTCCCGAATAGAGCAGTTTCATTGGTTTTCTGTAGGTACCGACTTCGGTTAAGAACGCGTTCGTATCTAATTTTTATTTGATAAGCGTGTTCAAGCAGTTAGAGTACATACACTACACTCCAAAAGTGTTCATACGATGAATGTTTTTATTATAACTCTGTCACTATAAACCTGTTTGTGATTTTAAATATACCGAATGAAAGCTCGATAGCTCTTCTGTATACTCAAAATTTTTTTTTCTTCAAATGGACTTTTCTTGGCGGAGTTATACGATCAGGAAGTAGGACGACTGTAGTTCTAGTGTCCAAAAGTCTTCGTACGATTTTTCTAAAATTCTTTTCTCTTCACAGAAAAATGGTAGAAAATCTGGCAATAGGAGAATGAGAGAGCCACATTTTGGCAAAAAAGTAATTTTGAAAAGCTTTTTCCTTAGGGTGAAAACGCGACTTTACGCCAAAAATGCTATACTCTTCAGTGTGACTGCTGAATCTCACGCATGAGTGGGTGAAAAAAAAATTCTGATTCGAAAGAGCGTTCAAAACTGAGTAAGATAAATATAGTGTGGAAGTTAAGTGAAAGAATTTGACCCATCTTTTAATGTTTTGGATCTTAGGGCTATTTTTGAAATATCTTTTCTGCACGGGAGGATAAACATTTTTTGGATATCTTTCCGTGATCATGTAATCAAGTAGTTACTGTATAGGGATATGAAAAGAGAAATTTGGGCTTTTTAAGCTCAGAGGGAAAATGGGTTTCTAAGTATTAAAACCGGCTTTCCACCCATCAAAAACTAACGTCATATTCGTGCTCAGTGTCAAAAACTGCGTTTAGTGATGTACCGCTCGAAGTCTAGCAAAAGTTTTGCTTTCGCAAAATTTTGCTCGGCACCGATTTTCCCTCTGAGCTTAAAAAGCCCAAATTTCTCTTT